CTGGCTGGGGAATTCTGGGAGTTGAAGTTCACAGGCCTTAAAGTTGCCAAGGTTGAGAAACACTGATATAAATTCTTATCATTAAAGAATATTTATTGCAATGGTGGAAAAATGGCTTTGGAAAAACCCAGTGAACGTGCCTCCAAATCATTGGAAAAAGTGCTTTGGACGAGGGAAGCTGGTCCTGGGATGTTTCAGTGCAAGCTCGCCTGTTTGTACTTTCAGGGGAGAACGATGTCTTCAGACTCCCATTTAAACGGGCACCAAAAGCAAGCAGGGATAGGCATTCTTGGGGTGTAAATGCTCCATTCTGGGGGTTGGATTTTGCCCACCGTTTCCTCCGGTTCCTTCCAGAGACGTAGGCAAAGTTGAATGGCAAGCCAAAACAAAGATAATTATAGCACCGTGAACTGCTAGTGTTTTAAAAGTAGGCATAGGCCCTGTTGTGCTTTATTGAACCCCTTTGTTTGCTTTGAGATTAGTCCAGATGGAAACCTAGTAAAAAATCAGTTGATCAGATATTGCAAATAACCAGTTCTCGAATACATCCTCTGCTGTTAACCACGATTGAATACTTATGTGGCCAGCCTGGGAGAATTTCATTACATTTTTCTTTATGTATTTTTTTACCCTTTCTTTCTTTCCTCTGTTTTATGCTGCCCAGAATCTGTAGATGAGGGCAGGATCCAAAGACTTTTGATAAATAAATAAGGGGCTTTTAAGAGCAATGCTGGTCAGGCCATTTCATTTGCAGCCCTGGGCAAAATGGCTCTGTTTTTTCTGCAAGGTTGCCACGTTTCCTCAATGGCATGTCTGCGATCCGTGAGAAGCAATGGGTAGTAAAAGTGTCTAGTCCTAGTAACATGTGAAAAGATGTATAGATTTGTTGAGGTCATTGCTTTGTTGCACGTGAGATCATGGCCTTGTGCAAAATGTGGTCATCTCTGCGTTGCTGCAAAACTATTTGTTTTGCCCCAGTAATCTAGCACAGCTCCTTCACTTGAAATCACCCTGGTAAAACAGCATTCAAACCTCTGTTAACTAAAAGCCTCACTTAGAAATAAGCAACAATTTGAAACCAGCAGAAATAAAAGCTGCATTTAAAACTGAGTTTAAAGCCGCTGTAGAGAAGTATGAATTGTTTTGCAAGGTACTTTAGTGATTTACCGGCAGAACCTTTACGGGGATGAAAATAAGCACAGCTCACTGTACGCTCATCCTGGTTATATAAAGTCTGTAACATAAGAGCCAGCAGTGACTTTTTCCATCTTTTCTCCTCCTATCTAGAACAAGCCTCATATTTTAGCCTGTCCTTAAAAATATCTAAACGTTCCCTCATCCCTTAGGAAAAAAAATCCTACAAAGATATGTAACAATTAAGTATCTTCTTTTGTGTTTCAGGCCTGGAAGAAAGCGTGATTATAGTCCAGTTTCTTGGAACCAATATTTTGAATCCATGGAAGATGTTGTGGTTGAGACTGACTCCGGCAAGGATATATCCTTTTTTGTTGGCTTTCGGTTTATCTTTCTACTTGCAAAATCTCACTGTGCAGTGAATATTTAAAGCTAAGGATTCTCCCAGCTCCATTTGTGACACTGTTGTCCACTCCAAATGGTGGTGGCTTTCAAAACAGTCGTGCAAAACAACTGTAGGCCAGGCATAGCTTCCTTTTTTTAAGCAAGAAGAAAGCTATGGGTCTGTAAGTCACGTCTGTAAGTTAATAGCTGCAACAGTCAGTGGTTAGACAGGTTATTTTAAATGAAATGTTGTGTGTATATGATTGTGGCCTTCCATATGGTGAATTAACCCACATCAAAGCTGAGAGAATTATGGTGGCTTTTTTTAAAGGCCGCCTAGCGTAGCTTGGATAATATCTGTTCCTGGAATTGTTTCATACATACCACCTCTTTGCCTTCTTGGATGTTACCTTTGAATTGGGTTGATATGTGATAGCAGTGGGGCATATCCCTTGCACACAGTTTCTTTTGAATACTTCATATTCTAAAATGTGTAAATAACTTGTCTAAAATGAGCCTCTATGGATGGAGAGGAGCATGGAGATAACCTTGATGAAGGAATGTGCAAACCGTTAAGTAAACAACAGCTCAGTCCTGGGAAAAAAGAAGGGGTGAGAAAGAAATTCAAGATAACCCTGTCTTGATCCTGTTTGGTATAAGAAGAGGCATGGGTATTCTGGAAAACTCTCAAGATTCTCTTGTTATACCCTTCAACAGTAAAGTAGCATTCTTGAAGATCCTTGCTGTGTCTGTTTCCTGACCTGGCCTACCTCACATGGCTGAGTGGGCTATATTCAGAGGTGACACTCCTGTATGTACTTCTAGGGATCAATAGAGGTGAATATTTGTAGCTCAGGGTTGAACTGTGGAGTCCTTTGGGTTCTCTTAAGCCCATGGTGATGGTAGCTTTTGAAGCAGGGTGGGGGTGGGATCCATCCATTTGGGAGACAGCTTCCTATTTCTTTGTAGTCCAGTATTCCCACTTCAAGGAGGCAGACTTAGGTGTGTTTGAGTCAGTGATTCTTTGAACTCTGTTGGTGCCCAGGTGGCACAGCAAGCATTGTCAAATGCCCGTGGAAGTGCTTAGTTGAGAAATCCTTGCTTGCTTGCTTGCTTGAAAATAAGGGCTGTCTTCTCTGATAGAAAAAGTCTGGGCATTAAAATCTCTTCTGTGCCTTGATGGAAGCAAGGAAGGGCCTCTTTGGTGCTCCCCCAACCCTTAGAGTTTCCTCACCCTCTTTCTTGACTTCCATCCAGTGTGGTAATCAGCAATAATAATAGTGATCATCAAGTGCTACTTGTAGTAGTTTTATATCCCCCTCCTTCCCAAAGCTCAAGCCTTTGCAGAGAAGGTTGTCACGTCCTTAACTGTTCATACACTTTTCGAGTTTACAAGAGTGGATCGGAAGGTCCTGTGCTGCTCCTTCTTCACGGCGGAGGTCACTCTGCCCTCTCCTGGGCTGTATTCACTGTAAGTCCTTTCCTTGGTTGTTGCTGTAGTGCCATCAGGGTGCCGGGTTTCCTGACCACAAGAGGCAGGTCCTTTCCAAGGACAGTCTTCTCCAACCTGGATCTTAGCATTGACCATGCGGTCTGGGTGTTCTGGGACCCCAAATCCCCTCATCTGGAGGGTGCCTGGGTGAAAAAGCCTGCCCCAGAAGTCAGCAGTGTAGCAAAGGTGGCTCTGAGGAAATAAAATAGGTAAGTAATTTATGCTATAAACGATGGGCATAAATTCCCTGGCCCCTGTGCTTGGTATCTCAGTTGCTGGAGTCCTGTCGCTTAGCAGGTTCCGTGCTCTGCAAGGTTCCTGAGCAAAAATGGAGTTGTCTCATTGTAGAGGAACGTAGTTCTGACCTTGAGACAGAGCTGAGGGACGGGAAATGGGTGGCTGGTCCTGGGAAAGCAGAAAGTGTGTGAAAGAACAGCCCTGTCTTGATCTTGTGATATTTGGAGATGCTTTCAAGATTCTGTTAATGTACCCTCTATTGTTGGAAGTTGTCTGCCTGCATCCCTGCAGGGTCTGTTCCTGGACCTGGCCTACCTCAAAGGGTTGACATCAGCTATAGGGAATGCCTCTTCCCCATTTTGGAACAAAAACCATCTTCCTGCAACATCTGGGGAGAGGAATGCCTTTAGTTTTTTTTTTTTTTTTTTTTATAAGAGGAAGAAAGAGAAGAAAGGAAAAAAAAAAAAAAAGAGAGGAAGAGGGGGAGAAGAAAAAAAAAAAAAAAAAAAAAAAA